AAAAACACACAAACAGCAAAAACAGTAACAGCACCATCCATAACAACTGTAACTTATAAGAAACACAGCTGAAACAAAGTAATATAGAAAAACTTAAAACAATTGAAGTGGCCAAAGGCAGAGCAGATCCCACCAGGGGAAAAGCATTTTAGTATCTGATAAGTCAGAATACTTTTTTTAAAAAAAAGAGCATTGTTTTGTATGGATGAAAGCTATAATCAATGCTGAAGATATGATGAATAATATAGTACTTATAGGAAGCAAACCTATAGAGAGATTGATAAAAATATAATTTTATATGAAGAATTGACCCACTGCTATCAATTTATGACAGAATACCTAGGTAAAAATAAAGAAATAAAAGTGGTTGATAAAATAAAGAACAAATTTATCAATATTTTTAGAATATGCTTAAGACCCAAGAAAATACAACATTTAAGTAAGGTGAATAAATATAAGGTAAATACACAAATATATTGTTGTTATTGTTGTTGTTGTTATACATTAAAAATTCTGCTTAATGTGGTAGAATAGGCTGCTGCCAGAAAGCAGCAACCTTTTCTCACAAAGAAATGTGAGGTAAATATAATTTAAAAATATGAATTCATAGCTGAAATCAAAAGTAAGAAAGAGAAATCTCCAGGGGTTACAAATGAAGCAGGAATCATCAAAGGAATAAGTGACTGAAGTCTTGTGAAGCAACTATCCAGATCTATCTCTTAGGGTTAGGGTTTTAATGCTTCCACGGTGATGAGGCAGGAGTTAAGGTCTTGAGACTGAAACTGGAAATGTCTCCCTCATAAAACAAGCAGCTGGGACATGGGGACTCCCAGTTGTAACAGGAATAAAAGAAATTCTGCCTGCCTATCTTTGGGCATGATATAGAATGGGGCTTTCATTTCAGTTCATGGTGGGGGTGGGAGGTGTGCAGGGGGAGGACAGAGATTCTGTTTGCAGATGACATATTATATATAGTAAAGACTCCACCAAAAAATGTTAGAACTAATAAACAATTTGAGTAAATTTGCAGGATACAAAATGCACTTGCATTTCTATGCACTAACAAACTGTCAGAAAGAGAAATTAAGAAAAGGATCCCATTTACAGTATCAAAAAGAATAAAATATTAGGAATAAATTTAACTCAGGAGGTAAAATATTTGTACACTAAGAACTATAAAGCATTGTTGAAAAACTAAAGAAGACATGAATAAAAGGGAAGACAGTCTGTATTCATGGATTACAGTAATCAATATTGTTAAAATGTCCATACGATGCAAAGCAATATACAGATTCACTTCAGTCCCTATCAAAATTCCAATGATAGTTTCTACAAAAATAGAGAAAACACTCCTAAAATTTATATGAAACCACAAAAGAGTCTGAGTAGCCAAAGCAATCCTGAGAAAGAACAAAGCTGGAGGAATCACAATTCCTGATTTCAAACTATATTACAAGGGTGTGTAATCAAAAACAGACATTTGCATCAGTGGAGCAAAACAGAGAGCCCAGGAATACACTCATGCCTATATTATTATAGACAAAGCACAAAAAATATACTTTGGGGAAAGGTCATATTCTTTTCAGTAAACGGGGCTGGGAAAACTGGACAGTCACTTGCAAAAGAATGAAATTGGATCCCTATCTCACTTACACCATACTCGAAAATCATCTCAAAATAAATTAAAAACTTGAAGACTTGAAACCATAAAACTCTAGAAGGAAATTAAGTAAGCTCCTTGACGTTGATTTCGTCAATATATATATTTTTTGATCTGATACCAAAGCAAGGCAAAAAACCCAAAAATAACCAAGTTGGATGACATAAATCTAAAAAGCTTCTTTTTGCACAGCAAAGGAAACCACCAACGAAATAAAAAGGCAACCTACAGAATGAAAGAAAATATTTGCAAACCACATATGCAACAAAGAGCTAACACCCAAAAATATACAAGGGACTTACACAATTCCATAGAAAAAAATAAAAACAAATAATCCAATTAAAAATGGGCAAAGAACCTGAATAAATATTTTTCCAAAGAAGACATACAAATAATCAAGAGGTACATGAAAAGATGCACAACATCATTAATCATCAGGGAAATGTGAATCAATACCCCAGTGAGCTCTTTCCTCAGACCTGTTGGGATGTCCATTAGCAAAAGAGAAGATATAACGAATGCTGGCGAGAATGTGGAGAAGTGGGAACCCTCGTGCACTGTTGGTGGGAATGCAAATCGGTGCAGCTACTATGGAAAACAGTATGGAGGTGCCACAAGAGATTAAAAATAGGACTACCATATGTTCCAGCAATCCCACTTCTAGGTATATATCCAAAAGAAATGAAATCATTATACCCAAGAGGTGTCTGTGCTTCCATGCTCACTGCATCATTATTCACAACAGGCAAGGTTGAAAACAGGTGTCCATCATTGGATGAATGGATAAAGAAAATTGGATATACAGAGATATAGATAGATAAACAGATAGAGAGATATAGATTGATGGATAGATAGATAGATAGATAGATGATATATTATTCAACCTTAAAAAAAAAAAAAGGAAATCTTGGCATTTGTGACAACATGGATGAACTTGGAGGGCATTACGTTAAATGAAATAAGTCAGTCAGAGAAAGATAAATACTGCATGCTATCCCTCATATGTGGAATCTAAAAAAAAACAAAACAAAACACTTCAAACTCATCGAAACAGAGAGTAGAGCGGTGGTTGCCAGGAGTTGGGGGTTGGGGGAAATAGGGAGAGGTTGGTAGAAGGTTACAAGATGAATAAGGTGTAAGAATCTAATTTACAAATGGTGACTATAGCTAATAACACTGCTCTGTATAACTGAAATTTGCTAAGAAAGTAGAACTTAAGTGTTTTCACCAAAAAAAAAAGGGGTGGGGGATTATGTGAGGTGACGGATGCGTTAATAAACTCAATGGTGGGAATCCCTTTCACAGTGTATACATACAGCAAATCAAAAAGGAAACAAAAAAATTTTTTCTGAGTCTTAAGATTGATGATTTGAATGTACTTAAGTTCCCTGAAAGCAGGATCTTCTTCTTGTTCAACTCTGTGTCCCTGGCATCTAAAAAACATCAGGTATCTCAAAAACAAGTATCTATTGAAAGAATGAACAAAAATGAGTGAAACAAAAAATATATCAAGTCCCAAGCAGGATAAAAAAATAGGTAGATAAGGGCGCCTGGGTGACTCAGTCGTTAAGCATCTGCCCTCCACTCAGGTCATGATCCCGGGGCCCTGGGATCGAGTCCCGCATCGGGCTCCCTGCTCAGTGGGAAGCCTGCTTCTCCCTCTCCAACTCCCCCTGCTTGTGTTCCTTCTCTTGCTCTCTCTCTCTCTGTCAAATAAATAAATAAAATCTTCTAAAAAAATAAAAAATATGTAGATAGAAAACACCTAGATACAACACCAGAAACCAAGAGAAATTTTAAAGCCACCAGAGAGGAAAAACAGATTACCTGTGAAGGAATGTCAGTTAGACTGACAACACACTTTTTTAAAAACAACCAGAATGCAATTAATTAATATCTTCAAAATGTTGGGGGAAAATCATTTTTAATCTCAAGCTATATGCCCAACTAAATTATTATTTGAGAGTAAAGGAGAAATAACATTTCAAACATACAAAGGTTGTTAAGACAGTTCAGTAACCACAGCTCCTCACTTCAGCAAGAAGGCAACAAAGTCACAAAGAGAAATCAGGTGCAAGGTTCAAAAGTGAGCAAAGAAATTGCTGAAAAGCTTGGTAGATTTAAACAAGCATTAATTGCAAGCGATAACAACAACAATAACAGTGGGGTTGAATAAGTGGCACTAGAACAATAGACAGCAATTGTTTTTAAAGATGGGGAAGTTCTGAGAAATTTTCTTCTATTATTCTGGATGAGAATGGAGAGATTGACTGGCTTTGCACTTCTTAGCAAAATCTACTGGTAAAACAACTATACTGCAATTTGGAAAATAACATGTAAAATAATAGGAACAGATAACTTCTAAACCCAAAGGACAGAAGTGAGGAAAAGCATGAAAAAATAAAACCTGATTAGACCAATGTTTAACGGCATGTGAAGCAAGGGGAGGTACAGACTGTCGTGGACTGCTGATGGGTAGAGAGACTGGAACACCGTTTCTGGAAAGCAATTTAACTACATATTCCAAGAGCCATAAAAGTGTTCATTGCTTATTAATTCAACTTCCTGGAATTTATCCTAAGGGAGAGAAAGTAAAGATGTGGTGAAATATTTTATATAATTCATTGTACCATTATTTATACTTGTCAAAAATTGAAAATAGCCTAATGTCTAAATGACATTGAGTCATTAAATGAGTTTCACACTATTCAGTCATTATTTTGTGCCCAACGCACATTGAATAAACTAATAAAGTAATCATGATACAATTTTAAGTGAAAAAAAGCAGAATAATAAAAAGTAGTTGACATCTACTGAGTGCTAAGTATGATCAGTCATTTTTCTGAGGCTTTGCTTATATTAACTCCTTTAATACTCATTATAGTACTTGGAAGTTGATGCTATTATTATCATCATTTTATAGGTGAGGAAATTGAGGCACAGAGTATTTAACTTGCCCAGGCTCAGGCAGCTAGTAAGTGGTAGAGTTCTGACTCATACCCAGGAAATCTGAACACAGTGCTTGAGTTCTTTACCACTGTGTTGTCCTATGTAGATTCATAAAGGTATGCACAGAATAAGGCCAGTTGTGTCTCTGTGTGTGTGTGTGTGTGTGCGTGCAAAATATACCTTAATTCTCAATGTCAATGGTTATAGCTAAGTGGAGCGATTATGAATAATTTTTAATGTCCTAACGCTTTCTCCATTTTCACGATTTTCTTCAATGAAAATGCTGACTTTTCATGTAAAGGATAAAGCCATCAGCCCATTTGACAACCATTCTATAATACTATCCTAGTAGAATGTTTGCCTCCCCAGGATACCATGCAATTGTACTCACATGTAAACCAGTAGATGGATAATCTAATGTGGTGGTCCTTAAACTTCTTTGGGTTGTGAACTTCTTTTTTTTTTTTTTTTTTTTTTATAGATTTTATTTATTTATTTGAGAGAGAGAATGAGATAGAGAGAGAGCACGAGAGGGAAGAGAGTCAGAGGGAGAAGCAGACTCCCTGCTGAGCAGGGAGCCTGATGCGGGACTCGATCCCGGGACTCCAGGATCATGACCTGAGCCGAAGCCAGTCGCTTAACCAACTGAGCCACCCAGGCGCCCTGGGTTGTGAACTTCTTGAGAATCTGGTGGAAGCTGGGTCCCTTCTCCACCAATGCACGTGTCTAAAATTTCAGGAGATTCACATATTCCCAGTAGCCGGTTATAGACCCAAAGTCCCTGCCCTCTTAAGAACAACCCAAGTTAAGGTGCCTCGCTTTCTCAGCAGCTTCAACTACCTGGCCCACTGCAAAGAACAAGGAAGAAATCATCTCCTGTGTTTCTCTCCCTGACTAAGGTCTTTGACCCAATGATCCTTGCCAACGTCCCCGCCCCTGTCCCTATCTCTGGCTGACTGGATACTGAAGGGACCAAACAGTAGAAATTCAAATCTATCAATATAAAAACTCTGGCCATGGTGATGCGGCCAGGTTCTTATGACATATGAGAAGAGAGTAATAGCTCAGGTCAGGAGCTGAACGGAATGGGCTCTGTGACAGCATTGCGTGAATCACTGTTACCTTAGAGAACATATGGAGACAAGACAAGGCATATAATAAAAAAAAAAATAAGCAGAAAGACAAGCTATTTTATTTTGCCTAGCATATTCTTGATGAGAGACAAAGGGCTTATATTTAATAGCTAGAAAAGTCAAAAATACAAAGGATAAAAAAGTAAGTAAATACAAAGGATAGTCACCACTTTGGTAAAAATGGGTTTTAATCCAAATATAAATTAAGATATAGGTCCTTTCCTATTAGGCTGAGGGAAGTATTATAGGGAAGAAGGATACATCAGTCAGAGGGGTGTGTTGTACGTGAATCCAAGGTTAGAGAAACCTTGGAAGAAAAATTGCTCAGGTTTTCAGTTTTGCACAGTTCCAAATAGATGATACAGTGGAAGACACTTCATGCCTTGCCTGCTGGTGCATTAGGCAGAACTGTATTTCTGAGCATACAGATGAGATGTTATAAAATTCATGCCCTGCTACAGCTCATTTACTTTATTCCCGGGGAATCCCCATAGGTCCTCACCCAAAGCATAGAATTCAACAAGCTCAGTTTTCTGACTTCCTAGCCCACAGAAAATTAGGAGAGAAGGTTTTGAAGCAAGCCCACTAACATTCATCAATTAAGAGCTAAGAGAAAAAGTGCCCCCCCCAAACAAAGTATTAGGAAACACATATAGCGAGCCAGTATGGGCCACGTGGCATGATGGCAAACCCATATGCCCCAGGAATCCCCATCCTGATAGCTATTTCCTAGCCCAGGGTACAGTAATTTATATGCATTGTACTCACCCCTTGTCATGAAGAAAGTGTTCAGTTATATTTAACGAAGTAGCAAGTATACAATGCATTCTAAGGTTGTATTCGCTTTTTAACCAAACCTGAATAAAATAAAACCTTAAACTTGGCCCTTAAAAGGCAGCCCTCAACTATTTGAAGACTTCACGTCTCTAGAATCCCCTCTTCCCTTACAAAGAGATAAGGTAAATGAGGCATTACAGTTATTATCCTGGGAGATTTCACAGATCAAATATCAAACTGCAATCTACCTGCGGGGGTGCAATATACTAATCAATATGCATGCTATAAAATTATATGACAGATTAACTCATCAGAAACTCATGAGGAAATGTGTGATGACCAAAATCCACACAGACCTGTCAGGGTGAGGAGGACACTGAGTAGAAATCAGAAGCCATTCACTAAGAATGAGGCAGGGAATCAGGTTCCATTCCCTGAGCTCTGCAGGGAAGGTAGCACCCTGAACAGTAAAGCTTTCTATATGTGAAGGCTTTTCTTAGCTTGGTCTGATGCACAATGACACAGATAGAACATAGAATTTGAGAGATGAGGGGCGTCTAAGCGTCTGCCCTCGGCTCCGGTCATGGTCCCAGGGTCCTGGGATCAAGCCCCACATCGGGCTCCCTGCTCCGCAGGAAGCCTGCTTCTCCCTCTCCCACTCCCCCTGCTTGGGTTCCCTCTCATGCTGTCTCTCTCTCTGTCAAATAAATAAATAAAATCTGAAGAAAAAAAAAGAGAAGAACTTAGAGATGAGAGAAAATGATGGTAGTCATGCACTTCACATCATTATTGAATGATTGGCACCTGAGCTCAAGTCACACAGGGGATGGAGCCACTGGGGAACCCCACAATATTGGCTCCAATTCTGGCCCTGGATTGCTCCTGATGCTTCTACAACACTCTCTGTCTCCCTTCTGTCATGCTGAGAATCACTGGACAAGGGGTAGACAGAGCACCCTAGTCTCTTCCTCCCTCCTTCTCAGGTTCAACTGCATGCAACTCCAGTCCCCTCCACAAGAGTATTGTCATTGAGAAGAGTCTAGAAAGAGCCTCTCTGTTTGGGCTTTCTATCATTCCAAACTTCTCCCCACCAAGTCAGTTGAGGGGACTCTCCTGAGCTCTACTCTGTACCCATGGATACCAAGAAGAAAAAAACAGCGTTCTGCCTCCAGGAGCTTCCCTGAAGCCTGAAAAAGTGTGCAGCAAAGATTAGTGTGACAAGCATTCAGGGAAGAACAAAGGAGAGATCAGTGCTGCCCCAGACAGGGGCAAAGCTTCTTAGTGTGAATATGAGCTTTGAAAGATGAGTAGGACTTGGTTTGTTCTTAAGCCTAAATCCCAAATTCCTTATGGCAAGCAAGGATAATTCCTGGCCTCAGCCTACCTCCTCAGCTTCCTCTCTCTCCATGTGAGCCCTTAGAGTCTATGCTCAATGCAACCCACCAAAGCTCTCCCGTTGGGGCAGGCTCACTCTCACCCTAGATTCCTGCAGAGTATGCTCTTTCTGTCTCAAGCAGTCTCCCTCACATTTACTTCCCTCTACCTGTTTAATTTTACTTCTCCTTCAAGTCAACTAATGCCCCCGGGATGCCTCTTCCAGTGTTCCTGGAGGGCCTGTGCTCACCTCATTAGAGGAATGAAGACTGAGTAGGAGGAACTCCAGAAGCAAAGGTTGGGGAGGGCTGGGATGAACAGGGGAGCGGGAGGAGAGGAGGAAGAGCCATTTGACTTGAGCAGAAGATGTCCTTTGGATAAGGAAAGCAATGCCAAAGTCTTTTTTTTTTAAGACTTTATTTATTTGAGAGAGAGAGAGAGAGAGAGAGAGAGAGGAAGAGCAAGGGGGAGAGGCAGAGGGAGAGGGAGAAACAGACTTTCCGCTGAGCAGGGAGCCTGATGTGGGGCTCCATCCCAGGACCTGGAGATCATGACTTGAGCCAAAGGCAGACGCTTAACCATCTGAGCCACCCAGGTGCCCCATGATGCCAAATTCTTAAGGTCTTACTTGGCACAACATGTGACGAAGAGACTGAACCAGCTTTATTAAGGAGCCATTAAAGACTCCTGAGCTTGGGCGCCTGGGTGGCTCAGTTGGTTGAGCAACTGCCTTCGGCTCGGGTCATGATCCTGGAGTCCCGGGATCGAGTCCCACGTCGGGCTCCCTGCTCGGTGGGGAGTCTGCTTCTCCCTCTGACCCTCTTCCCTCTCGTGCTCTCTATCTCTCATTCTCTCTCTCTTTCAAATAAATAAATAAAATCTTAAAAAAAAAAAAAGACTCCCGAGCAGGAATTTTGCAAGGAATTCTGGCACAATCCCCAACAGCAGACCCCAAATATAATCAGGCATCATGAAGAAGAAGTAGGAGAAATACTCAGCATCACACCACTAGCCAGCCTTGTGATCTTGTCCAGATGAAATACCCTCTATTTAAAACAAGGATAATAATATCTCCTTTGCAAATGGCTGTGAGGATTAAATTTAATAATACAGCACAAGGAGATGCTCGATACCCGGGAGCATTACTAATATGAACATTCTTGAATCCCAAAAGGCACTGGGTGTTATCAGTGGGAGTGCCACATTCACAATTAGATCCAGAGACACTCAGCGGGGAGTGTTGGAGGTAGGGAAGACTTAGAGGCAAAGAGAAGAGAAAAATGATGAGGAACAGGAAGAGAAGGTGCAAAGAAAAAACAACACATCACTTTAAAGCCTTCACAACAAAATTTACCCTTTCTTTATTTTCCTGTCCAATGTTACATTTTATAGTAGAGTAATAATAACTTCTACTGCTTTATAGTACACTCACAATAAATGGCTTCAGAGCCTGATTTACAACCTCAGGGAAGTGCAGGCATTTAATCATTTTAGCAGCTGCTCAAGGTTCTGTACATCCCCGTTCAGGAGCGATTATCTAGGAAGCATATTTAAAGGGTAGGAGAGCTGGTGGCTTCTTAAAGAGCAGAGTTTCGGGGCTGGGGGTTTGGGAGGTTGAAGTCCGGGCAGATGCCAAGGGGCTTCCTTCTCAGTGCTACAGCATCCTCCTTGTGAAGGGGGTCAGAAGATGCTTCCCAGTTTATATTGCGAACTGGGGAAAGCGGTTAATTGCCCTGAAGAGCTTCACGTTGTACAGGAAAAGGTCCCATCTCTTGCGATGCATTCTTTCAAGAAGTCAGCTATACTCATGAGGAAATCAACAGCGAATGCAGCATACAGGCAACGCCACGCTTAGAAATTGCCCTTTCTCTGTACCCTCTTTTCCTGATGCTGGCCTTTGCAAGAGCAGACAAGGGTCATGGCCCGACTCAGCATGATTTCAAGTCAAGTAATTGAGAGCAAGCTCGGTGTTGGCTGCTTTATCCGGGCCGTGCTCTGAAAAGGAAGCAGTTATTCTCAGGCCCTCAAATTTCTAGCCATCAGAGGAGACTTTTTTATCTGCAACGTAATGAGGGTCATGTCTTTTAAACTCCTGGGCTTTTAAGTGTGAATTTGGGACGAACAGCTGGCCTGGAAAGATACGCTGTCAATAAAAGCTGCCTCTCCG